TGAAACCAAGCTATTTGAATTTTTGACTGAAAATACCCCCTGCTCGGCTTAACGCGTTTGCCCAAATATTGTCTTGTAAGCTTCTGTGCAGTTTTTTTCCAACGGAGGACGGCATGTCATGTATTGTTTAAATTTCCAATATCTCTGCTTTGCACACAGTAAATGGTTCGTTCAAGAAAATCGAATTGAGTGTGAGTGTGTTTCTTTTCTCTTTGATCATTTGGTCCAACTAAGCATTTCACCCGTTTTTCTATCATTGCCAAACGACGGTTAGTCGCACGATATTCAGCGTCAGTATGTTCGATACTCGAATGTCCTTGTGTTAAACGATAGAGCCAACACACATGAATTCTTGACTTTGAGACTACGCACGCAACGTTGCCGCAACTTTCTCCAGTTCATTGGATTGGCCTCATCTTCCCACTAAATTTCCTGACATGTATTTCTGTGAACTTTACAGAGCCGAAGGCCGCCTTTCTCAAGACTGCTCTCCATGCCTCTAATACGACAGCTAACAAATTTGACATCAGAAAAGTGGTAAACAGGATATGAAGATTTCAGGATTGATATTACTTGCAAAGTGATGATAATGCAAGCAAGGCGATTCTGCGTCAAATTCTATGTGAAGTGACGTTACATCAAGCAAGTGGACTGAGGAGTGACCACTCGTTTATTCGATTCAAAGCGAATGGTTGTACGTCACCAGATGTCGTTGCTTATACAACGGACGAGGAAAAGAGGAAGCATAGACGTTTATTATGTGGACTACGTCATTTACGTTTCGTGCTTAGTTCATTGTCGACATGCGAAGTCACATTTAATGTTGCTTTCTTCATCGCTATGTTAAGCAGCAAAACTTTTAGGCAGATCTGCTTTCGGAGAGGAATATTCGCTTCAGAGATGCAGTGTCCGGTACCACGTTATTGCAAAATACGTTGGAAAGCTACGGGGACTTTGGACATATGAACCAGAAGCGTTCTGCCTTTGCAAACGATTCGAGGCTCAACCTTCAACCGTATTCTCCGTTCAATATGTAAATATCAAAATATAAAATTTTTGTCATTTTATTTGTAAACAGCCGTTTGCGCTCATTAATCAGCTGTCTGGCTGATCAAAGCGATTTGCAGCCTTAAGGCTGGTGCATCAGGCCGCATAACATTTAAGTGTCTCGCGTTCTGTCATGATCACACCATGTTCTCCCAACTGTTTGCAGACCAGCGACTTTCTGTTAGTCGTTCGTCATGTTCTTCTGTATTCGCAACTTTTCAACACTTTACCTGTAAGGTACCGGCTACTGCATCGTCGAAATAACAGTTCCTCTCCGAATGCAGATTTGCCTCCATTTTCTTCCTCCATGTTATACGTCCTGGCCTCCAGGGCGAGATTTACTAGAATTCGACTTACACACGATAAACGCATGGACTGGGACGGAGCTCGTCTAGGTTTATGATTAGCGTTAGTTTCGTAGTCAAGAAATGGAAGACTGGACACCTTTGTTTTTCAACGGTAAATTCATCATTTGGCGATTAAAGGTCATGAGGAATATTTTTGTTTTATCAGCTATGAAACGCATCGCAAGAATGTCCTTTACGTAGCTATTGGAGTGATTAATGAAACGGTTGAAGGGTGTTCATATCCGAAGGCCATATCGTCAGTTACTTAAAAAGTTTTGCCAGAATGACCAGGGCCGTATTTTATGGTGTATTACGGTATGACCGTCAACGCAGGAACAAATAGTTTCTACTTCATACATTTCTCTATTATGTGTAATATACAATAGATGTAAAATTTTGTGAAACGTTGCGGTTATCAATGTAAGTTTATCAGACTGGATCATTAGGTAAATGCACTTTATTCTTGATTCGCTACTTTTGTATACATAAGAATATAACAATGATAAAATTAGGCAAAATCTTATGGACTTTATTACTGATAATCGATTAAAATCCGTTTCGTTTGCCTTAAAGTTTCGTTTTTAAGGCGGAATCGTACTCATAGCCGGCACCGGCTCATCTTGTCGTCTTTTGAACCCAGACGGTGTGATGTACGGTTGTGGCGGATGGGGTCATCTGATCGGAGACGAAGGAAGCGGTAAGCTTGAAATTCGAAATTCTAAGTACAGGTCAGTTATTTGCTTGAAACGTAAGAAGTACCGTTACCAGCTTCTACGGTACGAAACTTAATTTTGTTTGAAGAGATCTTTGTCATTAATGGAAACGAAACAGTTATGACTGCACGATTCTTGCTTACTTTTACTCAACATGCACTTTTTCTATGTCTCCTGATTTAGGTGTTTGGTAGGGAGGTTGTGGGAACCTACCTGATTCTGTTTGCATTGGCAGTTTTTTGTTACGTCTTCGGATTCGCGTAAGGAGTTCTACCTTGCACTTGCTACTAACAGCCTAGGGTACCGTTTAAGAATTTCAGAGCTCCATGATATTTCAGCACTTGCAGTGCACTTATGAAAAGGACCGCTTTGTTGGGTTCGATCATGAAACGGATATGTTTCGATCCCAGGGCATAACGATTGACTTGATTTGTTGTCTTTATTCGGTTGTAGAAATGTAACGTCAGAGTTATTGAAAGGAAACTTTCGCAGTTTGCTGGTTTTTATATAAATTCCTTTGCTCATTGCTACTATGACTGTGTTCTCTGCTGATTCTTCTCTTGCGATGTCATGGTACGCCATTTACGGCAGCACGTTGTCGTCTTGTTCGTCATGCAGA